TGTGTGTGTGTGTGTGTGTGTGTGTGTGTGTGTGTGTGTTATAGTTGCTGCCATCACAGTGACTCCGAGGTATGTATAGTGAGCATAATTTAGACTTTCTGACTGTTAAAAGTTTTTGAAATTACATTACAGTCAAATAAAGAACTTGTTAAACTACTTGTATAGATTTTAAAAAGTGGACCCTTTTAACTGGATCTGCATCTGATCAGTTTCTGATAGTTTACATTCTGTAAGCAGGGTTCCTACAGGTCCTTGAAATACTTGAAAGTTTTTGAATTTGAAGAAATGATTTCAAGGCCCTAGAAAGTTTGTGAAAAMAGCCAAAAATTACACTTGTCCTTGAAAGACCTTGAATGTTTTTTGGCGATTGAAGTTCTCCATTCATACAAATCATTTTCAGTACGTGTAATACATAAATAAAACAGATTTGTTGCGGTGGATAACTCAGGATTATAGACAGAGTGGACACGGGACAGACAGACAAACAGGCAGAGTGGACAAACAGTCAGAGTGGACAGACAGGGGACAGACAGACAGAGTTAAGTAGGAGAGTTTCTATCCTGAATGTTTTTCCTGTCTCTCTGCTCSAACACACCAGATTTGCATACAGACTTTTTCAGAATTTGAAATGGTAATTCAGTCACTAAATCAGGTCCGTTGGAGCAGAAGAACAAGAAAAATGTGCAGGATAGAGACCCTCCAACTCAAGTTAGATCAAACTTAATCTGATGATTCTCTCACACAAACCACATGCTTAATACTATATACAATATATGCAAATACATTTTTCTCAGGCAATAACTTGCAATTGTTGGAACATAAAATAAATACAGAGTTAAAGAAAATAAAAATTTGGTTTGACACTAATAAATTATCATTAAATTAAAGCAAAACAAAATTCTTAATTTTTTGGTATGGTAGGGCTAAACTAGAATTAGAAGTTAATTTAGAGGGATTTCAGGTTGAAAGGGTGACTGAAATAAATTTTYTTGGAGTAATAATTGATGAAAAAATAAGTTGGAAATCTCAAATCAGACATGTAAAAGCCAAAGTGTCAAGGGGAATTGAATTATTATATAAAGCAAAACAGGTTCTGAACTACAAATCTCTACATATTCTTTACTGTTCCATAGTTCTTCCATATTTAACTAATTGTGCAGTAGTTTGGGGCAATAATTACAAAACAGTTATACAACCATTTTTCATTTTGCAAAAGAAAGCAACAAGGATAATTCATGGGGTTGGATATAGGGATCATACCAACTCATTATTCTTTTTGTCAAAATTAYTCAAATTTACAGATCTTGTAGAGTTACAAACAGCACTAATAACATTTAAAGCAAAAAGAAAATTATTACCAGGCAATGTTCAGAAATTATTTGTTGAAGGAGAAGGGATTTATCATTTAAGGGGTCAATTTAATTTTAAATCAAGGTTTGTTCAAACAATTCGAAAAGGGTTTTATATTTCTGTTGGTTGAGTAAAACTGTGGAACAGTCTGAGTGTGGAACTTAAGGAATGTCCAAACATAAGACAATTTAAGGAGAAGTATAGAACTATTATTTTCAAAAGATATAGAGATGCTCAGTGTGTCTGATCTTGTGTGTATATATATGTATACATGTGTGTATACATACAATATCGTTTCTTTTTTTGTTTTGTGGTTGCTTTGTTTTGCAATATATGTTATGTTTGGGACTGGGTATATATGTTGTATGTATTCATTCATGTGTGTATGCGTATGTGCTGCACATAAATGTATGTTTATCTATATAAATATTTTCTGTATTATATAATTCAGTAGGTAAACAGATTGTTTAAATCTTCATGAAATTGTGTTTATGAATAAGAAAAAAATCAGAATTATTTATTATTATTTTTTAATAAGCTATGAAGAAGGGTGGGATTAAATAAGTTTTTTTACTTCTTCCCATTCCTTTTCAAATATGTTAATTTCATTATTATCATTTTTTATCATTGTTTTATTTTGTTTTCCATGTTTGAAATAAATAAATTAAAAAAATACTAGTTGGAGTAAACCTAGGTNTTTGTGGCCACAGTTATTTCGGCTACTTTTTTCCCATTGGAAATGAATGGAGCTTTATTCAACCTCCTTAAATTTCTTCATAATATTTTACAATCTTTACACTACCAAACAGATTCTTCATAATATTTAACAATCTTTACAGAACCTAACAGAATATTTTCTGGTTTTGCTCCTATTACATTACTTGTGACAATTTTACCTACTTTCTTGCTAGTTTTAGCTTTTTCCTTCTTCATTAGCTACGTGTTACTTATTTCTGCTATTCTTTTGCACTTTTTGGGTTTGTTGTACTTTTTACAGCTAATATATGGTATTTATGCTTCCTAAAGTTGCATTCTGCAATATTCAGCTATTTGCTGCAATTGTAGCTAAAGTTTAGCTGATATTAGCTAAACTTACTTCAAATTATTTGATTTTGGCCTATTTTTGATATATTGACCTAAAAATGAATATTGTAGTAGCTGAGACTTAGCTCTATCATAAATTGCAGCCGAAATAAGAATCCAAGATGGCCGCCAAAGGTATTTTTGAAGGCCTTTTACTCAGCCATTGTTTCAGATATTGACATGAAAACTCAAGTACTGGTAGCTAAGAGCATGCTCTATAACATATTGAAGCCTCAAGAATATACAACAGATGTGGCCACAGCTATTTCGGCTACTTTTTTCCCATTGACATTGAATGGAGCTTTTTTCAACATCCTTCAGTTTCTTCATAATATTTCTACATCTTTACGTAACCATACACATTATATTCTGGTTTTGCTCCTATTAAATTACTTATGACAATTTAAGCTACATTCTTGCTAATTTTAGCTTTTTCAGTCTTTTCAGCTGAAATTCTTCTTCCTTCTAATATTATTCTGCTACTTTTTACTTTTTGTGCTTCTTTCTTCTAATTTGAGTTACTTATTATTCTTACATTTTCTTTCTGCTATATTCAGCTATTTCTACAATTTTAGCTATAGTTCAGCTGTTAATGCTCGAGTTTGCCTTTTAATCTAAATACATATTATTTGTAGCTATTACAACTTATTCCTGCTAAGTTTCGCAAACTTGACCATTTTCCCTTTCCTGCAAATAAATACAACATTTTTGCTTGTACTTTTGGAGACGTTGTTAATAGTTCAAAGAACTATGTCCATTTTGCACAAACATATACATAGAAAAATGATAATTTCGCACTGATCTCCTAATTTCTCCAGAGCTGTATATATAT